TGTGGTGGTGTCCCAACCTTTAATCCCAAAACTTGGGAGGCAGAGTCAGGCCTGAGATTGATTGAGACCAGCCTGGTCTACATAGTGAGTTCCAGGTCAGCTGGGGCTACAGGGAAACCCTGTCTCAAAAAAATTATTGCCATTTATAGATGAAATTCACTTAGAAACTTGAAAAATATTTTTTAATCTTTGTAACTTTGTGTGTATGATATGTATGTGCACAGTCGTAGGTGTGCAAGAGCATACATGCCACAGCATCTTCCACCTTGTTTGAGACAGGGTCTCTTGTTCACCAGGCTAGCCAGCCTAAGAGCCTCAGGGGATTCTCTTGCTTCCACCTCCCATCTCCAAGCAGGAACTCTGAGGTTACAGACAGAGTACTACCTCCAGGTTTACTGAGTTGTAGGGACTCGAACTCAGGTCCTCACAGTTGCATGGCAAATACTTTACCCACTGAGCTATTTCCCCAGCCCCAGAAAAGTGAGAAATAGTCCTTACAGACTCACCATGCTCATGGCTCTGATGAAGAAGAATCTTGCTTCTTACTGGACACACACAGTGTGTCCAGTAATTTGTTTTCATTTAAAAGTAGAATCTAAGAATCTTTAAGATGGTGTGATTGTAGACTCAGCTACACATCAAACATTTATTGTAAACCTGCTCCATCGGGACATAGGGCACAGAAATGGAGAAAAACACAGACCTCCCTGTGGTTTTGGTGGTTGTTTTTGTGATGTGGGGATTGAACCCAGGCTTCAGCGCACTAGGCAAGCACTCTAGCACTGCGGTACAGCCCAAACCCCTTTATGGATCTTATAGTTTAATATAGATTCTGAATTCTCCTTGAATAAGGAAATCAGTGTTTCAAAAGATTCAATAATTTCCCCCAAGATCACATGGCTCATTAAGTTCCAGGGTCAGAATTAAACTCACATATATCCAACTGAAAATCCTACTACTAACGGAAACATCTGTTCTGAAAGGCACTGGGCACAGAGCCTTCTGATGAACACATGCTTTATGTAGAAGAGGTACTTGGTAGTTTTGTTAAATAAGTAAAATGGATGGATGGATGGATGAATGGGTGGATGGATGAATGGATAGCAGTATGTGGATGCTAGGAGCATGGATCTGTGGAGAGCAGATTAACAGATGGTTGGATGATGGATAATGGATGGAAAGAAGGATTAGTTGATGCATGCATATGTACATATGTAAGGAAGATGGGCCCATGCCAGGATACAGGATGGATAATGAATGGATGAAGAGGTGAATGGATGGAAAGATGAAAGGATGGATGAATGGGAGGATAGGGGCACAGATAAATGAATAAATGGAGAATAAAAGAATGAGGAGATGAGGGAGATGAATATGTCCACAATATACTGTATGACATTCTCAAAGAATCAATAAAAATATTTTAAAAGAATGAGGAGGTGAATAGATGGATTGATGGAGGGATAAAGAGATAGATGAGATAGAAGGATGAATGTAAAGATGGACAGATGGATGAATGAATGGGGGAAGGAAGAATTCATGGTAGGAAAGAAGGGTGAATGGAACAGAAGAATGAGTGGATGGAAAGGTGGATGGAAGGTTGTATGGGTGGACAGATGGATGGATGGTTGGATGGATGGATGGACAGATGGATGGATGGATGCATGGTTGGATGGATGGATGGATGGATAGATGGATGAATGGATGCACGGATGCATGGATGCATGGCTCTATGGTTGGACAGATGGACGGATGGATGGATGGATGGATGGATGGAAGGTTGTATGGTTGGGCAGATGGATGGATGGATGGATGGATGGATGGATGGTTGGATGGTTGGACAGACAGATAGATAGGTAAATTAATGGAATGTTAGATGGATGGACAGAGGGCTGGATAAGTGAAAGGAAGTAAGAGAGGCTGGCAGGATGGATGGGTGACTGAAAGGATGAGTGGGTGGGTAAATAGAAAGACGGGAGGATTCTGGGCTGGAGAACTGGTTCAGGTGTTAACACCACTAGCTGCTCTTGCAGAGGACATGGGTTCTGTTCCTAGTACTCACATGGTGGCTATCAACCATCTGTAATGCCAGTTCCAGGGGATCTGACATCCTTTTCTGACCTCTGTAGGCATTGCACGGGTGGGTGCATTTACATACATTCAGGCAAAACACTCATGCATGTAAAATTAAAAATAAAATAGCTGGGCATGGTGGCATATGCTTTTAATCCCAGTACTTGGGAGGCAGAGGCAGGTGGATCTTTGTGAGTTTGAGGCCAGCCTGGTCTACATAGTGAGTTCCAGGCCAGCTTGGGCTACAAGGAGATCCTGTCTCAAAAAGACCAAAAAAAGAAAAAGCAAAAAAAGAAAGATGGTGGATAGGTGGGTAGATGGATGGGTGGGTGGATGAGTAGATGGATGGATACACGTGGATGGATAGATGTGTGGATAGTAGGAGGATGGATAGGTGGGAGGATGGGTGGGGATCTGGATCAGGTGTCTTGTCCATAGTTCTGTGAGAGGCATTATCATTGATTTTCTTAGTGGAGGAACTGGAGCTTGGGTTGCTGTTTGCCATTGGCCTGGAGTTGGAGAGCAAGTCAGGGTAAAATATAGATTTTCACAGATATACCAGACCCCACAACTTTTAGTATTTTTCCTTTTTCCTCTTTCTTTTTCCTTTTTCTTTCTTTTCTTCTCTTTTTTTTTTTTTTTAGAAAGTCACACTGTAGCCGCACTGGCTTGCACTGGCTTGTGGCTATCATCCCGCCTCAGCCTCCCAAGTGCTGGGATCACAGTATTTGCGAGTGTCCTGGCTCTGTGACCCTTTCTTGAGCATCCTTCCATCGTAATCACCTCCCAGGTGTCACTCTAGCACCTTCAGCATCTCACTTTGCAGACCCCTTTGGGCAAAGCTCAGAAAGAAGGGGCTGGGGCAGATATGAAAGGGCCAACTGTCTTTAGCAGTTAAGTTTGTGGGAATACTGGATCAAGGTGCTGTAAACTACAAAGGCACCTTACAAAAAAGAACCCACTGCATACAAGACAAACACTCATAAACATACATATATGTAAACACATGCATTAAAAACACATGCATATGCACAAACACACAAACTTGGGGCCAGCACAATGGCTCAGTGGGTAAAGGGGCTTGCTGCCAAACCTGACGACCTGAGTTTGAATCCCAGGACCAACCTGGTGGAATAGAGAACTGACTCCCACAAGCGGTTCTCTAATCTCCACATGTGCACAGAATAAAGATACTAAAAATAAATAAAAACTGGAACTTAGAGACACTTTTGCACACTGTGCACATGTCCCCCAGATAACGCCCCCAGGCTTGAGTTTCCACACACCTGCATATAGCACAGGAAGGCAGTCACACAGACTCCCACTGTGAGATGAAGGAGAGGAGTTTGGCTTAGGATTTTAATGGCACCATCACTGTCCCTCCACTGTCTCCTCTCCCAACAGTGAGAAGGCTGTCAAAACTGTACAGACAAATGCAAATCACATAACATACCCAAAGCCATAGCCAGAGACATAGAACTGGAGACACACAGTCAGACATACATATTCGAACAGTCACTTGGGGGATGCGAATATCCCACACGCATGCTGGGATGTGTCCTTACACTAGGGAGAACACATATGAACCCTTATATCAGCAACACACTAAGCTTTCCACATCTCAAAACCACACACAAAGACAGACACACCAAGACATATCCATGCAATGTCACACACAAAATAACACCCTGTTGCACTGTGACTGCCTGTCTAAGGACCTGGGCTGAAGGCTTGCATTTGTGTCAAGTACTACACAACCTCTAAACAGGGGCTGGACACAGCCTGGGCACAGTGGATCAGGATCCCCAGTCCCTCACACTCCACTAGGCTGCAGCTCTTGGGAGCAAAGCCTTCTTCCCAGGGAGGGGAGAGGATGAAGGGCCAGATGCTCAAAGGCTTGAAGAAGGTGGCATAACAGGGAAGAGAGGGAGTCAGATAGATGGAACTGGGGGGAGTCCCACAGACAGGCTGAATATCAGAAGGGCTTCCACAGGGATGAGGGGGCAGGGGAGGGGCTAAGGGAGATTTGGGATGGAAAAGCCCCTCCCCTGTCACCAGGAGGATGGAGCCACCATGATTAATATGCCCATCTCCCTCCCAGGGAGCTCCCAGGAGAGAAGCGGAGGGTAAAACAGGGTATGCTGCTGGCTGGACTTCTGCACCAGTCAGAGCCCCTCTATTGCCAAGGGGTGGATGAGGGGGATCAACACTCAGTACTTGAGGAGACTTAGAAGGGAGATACTGGGACCAGGTGCAGGGGATAGAAAAGAGAGGCAGGTTAAAAAATAAAAAGAGAGAGAGACACACAGAAAGTCAGAAAAAGAAACAGAAATAGAAGACCCAGAGGAGGGAGGAAGAGAGAGCCAGAAAGGCAGAGACAGAGAGACAGAGACAGAGACAGAGAGATGAAATAGAAAAAGACCCAGAGGAGGGAGAGAGACGAAGACAGAGAAGCTGTTGGTTGACACTTAGACACATCCAAGCAGAGTCCTTAAAGCTGCAATACTTGGAGACCCACAGATGTCCCCTACCCACCCCCAGCAGAGCCGGTCATCCTCCTGGTTCCCCCAAACCGCCCAACTCCGCCCCACTCAGCTGGGATCTGGTTCAATTCCGCAGCCCTCACCGCCTCTGCCCGGGGCTGGAGCCAGCTTGGTTCCTCGGGGGACGCTCGGGGTCCCCTCCGCGAGGACGCTGGTCCATCATATCCCATCATCAAACCCAGACCGATGCTACGCGCGGCGCAGGGGTCCCTTGTGCTCGGACCCCCCAGCTGAGATCGCATCCCCCAGGGAGGACGTCCCCCCTCTGCCAGGGATGTCTGTCACTTCGGGGGGCATGAGGGGTTCCTTTTCCCAGGGCCTGCAGCCGGGGGCCGTAGGCACCACGCCCCCCCTCGGGAGCGCCCCCCAGCGTGGCCGGCCACTTACGATTTTCTCCGAGGAGCCCGCGCGGGACACTGTGCTGTTGAGTCCCACGAGCGAGGGCAGCGTCTGCGACATCCAGTTAGTGACCATAGCCATGGTGCTCAGCACCGCCCCGATCTTGAGCAACGGCACCGACATCGCGCCCCCGCCTCATGCCCCGAGCCACCACCCCAAAGCCAGGTGCTCTCGGTCCCCTTCTGCTGTCACCTGAGCTGTCACTCACCCCACTACGGTGGGGGATGGGGTGGCCCGTGACTGGCGAGGTGGCCAGGGGGTGGAGGGGGTGGTTGGTGGGGCCGGGGACCGGGCGACACTTGAGAACCGAGGCTGCGGCTCCGCGCGCCTCTCCGAAGCTCCGCTTTATAAAGCGCCGGCTGGGCCGCCCCCTCCCGCGCCACCGCCGGGCACTTCCAGCCGCCGTGACGTCACGGCTCCGGCCTCGGAACCCGACGAGGAGGGTGAGGAGGAGGAGTTGGGGTGCGCCCACCCCGCCCCCCACTTCCCCGCAGAGCCTCTCGGGAGGGACCGCCCCCATCTCTTAAAGTATGGGGTATTCCCCCCGACAGCGACATCCCTGCCCCTCCCCCGCCACCACTGGCATCCCGGGTCCCGCCCCCCATTCCCATCCTTATCCTCAACCCCATTCTCATCTCCATCTTCACCCTGATCCTCATCCTGGTCCTCAGTCCCAGCCTTATCTTCATCTCGGTCCCCTTCCTAGTACCCTCTGCAATCAATTCCGAAGCAACCGTTGTGCGCAACGCCCCCTCTCCAAAGCCCCGGGGTTAAAAACCCGGAGTGCTCACCCCACATCTCGCACCCAAAGCTGACACCGGGTGGGAATCGCAGGTCCCCACCCACCTGCTAACTGCCAGACTACAGAGCCGGGTTCCCCGAAACCCGAGACAGCAGACGCAGAGGGCGTGGGGGCCCAGACTTGAGAGCGCGAGAACCCGGGCTCGTTTTCCCCATGGCTTTAGGGTCCCAAGACCTCTCTGGGGGGGATCCCTCGGTGTTTTGGAGGCCAGGGAAGCCAGGGTGGCAGGTCTGGAGCCTGCAGAAGCGATGGCTCTGATGCAAGTGCAGGGATGCGGGTCACTTGGGCAGCCGGAGTGTTTGTTTCCCTTGCGCATCCGTGTGGAGATGTTACCCAGGGACCGCCGGGGATCCAGACAGCCCTTCTTACAGGCGAGTCTCAAAGTGGGCGAGGAGGGGGTGACTCACAACTTGAACTTAGGGTAGGGGCGAGGAACTTATACTTGGGACCTTCCTCCAGTTCCCAAGGGCTGGTCCCTAGATGAGGGAGAGAGGGAGAGAAGGAGGCTAGCGCGGTGCAAGCAACCAGCCACCAACCCACCTACCCCAGCAGCAGCCGGCGGCCGGTTTGAATTTGCAGCGTTTTCCCTGCACTCACGCCCCCTCCTGGCGTCCCCACATCACCTCACGCCGCCGCCGCCACTGCCGCCACCGCCGCTGCCATAGCCCTCGGCCGGCGGCCGCCGCCGTCTGGAGGCGGTGATGACTCAGGCCTTTAACAAGCCGGCCGCTGGCGGAGCCCGAAAGGTCCCAGCAGAGGATGCTAGGGAGGGTATTGAACTATCCAGAACTTTCTTCCCTCCTAAGCTCGACCAGGCTGAGAAGCAAGCTCTGCCCCGGGTGTGACCTCCAGCAAGGTTTCTCCTGTCTGCCTCGGTTTCCCCGAATGCAAAAATGGTTCTGAGAACCTATGCAAGATCTGGAAGCAGCCTGAAGATTTATTAAGCACTAGGGTACACACCAGACACGCAACTACAACCCCCAAAGCATGAAGACCGTTTTAGGGAGACAGACAACCCGGGAACAGCTGAGGATGTGGCTCAGTGGTAACCCGTCTGCCTAGAACGTGTGAGACCCTGGGTTCCCATCCCCAGTGCATCTCCACCCTATAAACAAAGGGCAAGTGAGATGGTTCAGTGGGTAAAGGCACTTGCCATCAAGCCTGACCACCAGAATTTGATCCCCAGCACCCACAAGGTGGAAGAGGAGAACTGATTCCTGCAAGTTGTCCTCTGACTTCTACATGTATTTGGTGACCTGAGAAGGCACCCAAGCACCCCCCCCACATACACAAACACACACATACATGCACCACACACACCACACACATACACACACACCACACACACATACCACACATACACACACCACACACACACACATACACACACGCATACACACACACATACACACATATACACACACCCACACCCACACACACATACACACACATACACACACCCACACCCACACACATATACACACACATACACAAACCCACACCCACACACACATACACACATACACACACATACACACCCACACCCCACAAACATACACACATACACACACCCACACACATATACACACACCCACACCCACGCACACACACATACACACACCCACACACCCCACACACACATACACACCCCCCACACACACACATATACACACACACACTCACATACACACATCCTGAATAAATGTTAAAAAAAATTAAGTGGCATAAAAACTAAAGAAAGGGAGGGCTGGAGAGACGGCTCAGTGGTTAAGAGCACTGGCTGCTCTTGCAGAGGACCCAGGCTTCATTCCCAACACCCACATGGCAGATAGCAAATGTCTCTAACTCCAGCTCCAGAGGATCTGATGTCTTTTTCAAGCATCCACCAGCACTGTACACACGGATGCAACTACATACATGGAGGCAAAACACTCATACACATAAAATAAAAATAAAGTTGGGCATGATGGTGCATGCCTTTAATTCCAGCACTTGGGAGGCAGAGGTAGGTGAAGAGATCCAGGTCAGTCTGTTCTACATAGTGACTTTTAGGCCAGCTGGGGCCACCTTTAAAAAAATATTTATTTAGTTTATGTGTATGTGTTCCTAAATATATATATACATATATTTATATTTATACTTATATGCCCCATGTGTGTGTAGACAGGTGTTAGCCACCATGTGGGTGCTGGGAACCGAACTCCAGTCCTCTGCAAGAGCAGCCAGTGCTTTTAACCACTGAGCCATCTCTGTAGCCCTCAAATTAAAATTTTTAAAGGTTTATTTATTTGTGCTTGTGTATGTACACATGTGTGTGTGAGCAGGTGTGTGTACCTGTGTGCATGCAAAGAGGCCAGAAAAGGATGTCTGGTGTCTTCTTCTGTCGCTCTCCACCTAGTCCTTTGAGGTAGTTTCTCCCTGAACCTGGGTTTCTTGTTTTCTTGGCTGAGGTGGAATCCAGCAAACCCCAGCAATCCTCCTGTCTCTGCCCCTCAGAGCCGGGGCCACAGCTGTGCACGGGGCTGTGAGTGACTTGTTACACGGGTGTCGGGATTCAAACTCTGGTTCTCATGATTGTTCAGTAAGGGTGCTTAAAGGAGTCATCTTCCCAGTCCCATGGGGTGGCTTTTCTGACAGCGGATAATCCCTCTTTTCATGCCACAGTTCCTTCCTCAACACAGCACCCCTTTGCTAACTGCCCAGCAGCTTTCTCCTGGGGCCCAGTGCCCAGTTCTCTGATCATCCCATTTGGATGGTTAGTCGTTCACTTCCATTCAAGCAAACCTCTATATCAAACACCCTTCTGCTGTAACAACAGTGTGCGTGTGTCTGCCTGAGTGTGGGCATGTGTGTGCAAGGGGGTGCACCTGCATATATGTGTGAATGGATGTTGAGACCCAAAATTGATGTGGCTGCCTTAGTCCTTCACTCATCTCCATATTTATTGAGTCAGTGTGTTTCAATCAAACCAAGAACACTTGCTGTGTATAGTAATGCATGCCTTTGGTCCCAGAAATGGGGAGGCAGAGGTAGGTGGATCTCTGTGAGATCAAGGGCAGCCTGGTCTACATAATAATTTCTGGGCCAGCTGTGGCTACCAGGAGACCCTGTCTCAAATAATACTAATAATACTAATACTAATACTGCTAATAATAGGGAGCTGGAGAGATGGCTCAGTGGTTAAGAATACTGGTTGTTCTTGCAGAAGAACCGAGTTCGAATCCCAGCACCCACATGGCAGCTAACAACTGTCCATAAATCCAGTCCCAGGGGATCCAACAGCCTCTTCCATCCACTGTGGGCATTGCACGACACAGGTACACTTACCTACATGCAGGCAATACACACATACACATAAAATAAAAATTAATAATAATAATAATAATAATAATAATAATAGGGCTAGAGACTGCTCCTCTAGAGGACCTGAGTTTGGTTCCCAGAACCCATGTCAGTGGCTCACAACCACCAGCAACTCTAGCTTCAGGGAAATCTGATACCCTCTTCTAGCCTCCACAGGCTCACACATACACACATAAAAAGAAAAAAATAATAATAAGTTGGAGAAGCAATTAAAGAGACATCCAACATTAACCTGTAGCTTCTACATACATGTGGAGAGAGAGAGAGGAGAGAGAGAGAGAGGAGAGAGAGAGAGAGAGAGAAAGGGGTATAAACTGTTGCTGCTGTTTGAGAGACAGCATAGTAACTTCTGAAAAAGTTAAACAAAAAACCTTCAGGATGGCCCTGTGATTCTGTCTACCCAAGAGAAATCAAAGTGTACATTCATGAAAAGACACGCACATAAATATGCATACCAATGTGGGTTTTTTCCTATAACGAGTAAAACCAACTATCACCTGCCAAATGCACAAACAAGCTGGGGGCCATCGATAAAACACAAGCTTTCAGCCACAAAAAGGAAAAATTACTGATATTCACTTTAGCCTCCTGGACCTCAGAAAATTTTGGTAAGTAAAAGAAGCCGAAAAGGGAAGACCACAGATTTTATGATTCCACTTACATAATATGCCCAGAAAAAGACAAATCAATAGAGGTGAGAAGGGTGGATTAGCGAATGTCAAGATTGACCCTGGAAGGAGCACAGAGGCAGGATGCTGGGCAGTGGTGGGGATGCCAGAACTGGACTGGGATGCTTGTCCAATTCTATGCACTTAGGAAAAGCCCCTGAATTCTATTTTAATTTAACTTAAGTGGGCGAAGTTTAGAGTGTGTAACCCATGCCTCTATCAAACTGTTTTATTTGTTTCATTTTTTTCTTTTTTTGAGTCAGGGTCTCATGTACCCCAGGCCAGCTTCAAACTTGCTATGTAGCCGAAGCTGATCTTGAACTTCTGATCTTCCCACCTCCGTCTCATAAGTGCTGGAAATCCAGGCATGCATCACCACACCTGGTTTATAGGGTGCTGGGGTTGGAACGCAGGGTTTCATGTATGCCAAGCAAGTGAGCTACCCACTGAGCCATAGCCTCAGCCCCTTTTCACAGAGTTTCACTATGAGTCCCAAAGGTGCAGAACTGGCTATGTGAGCCTGGCTGGC